TTCATAAATAGAGAGCACAATATCCCCCCCCCCAGATAAAATCTATTCCATAGATTAATATACACCCTTTCATCATTTACATGAGCTGCGGTTAGAGATCTATGTTTATTATGCTGCTTTGGTGCACTGATAGGTGGATAATATATATTCGGTTCTTTGAAAAGCAACACAGTTGTATTATTCACACCATTGCCTTTAATGAGCTGGCTATGAGCCGTCATCATCAATCCTGACATTTACGTTCCCTTCATGTTGTACCAGAGCCTTGTGATGACATAATTGTTGCTTATATAATAAGTGCCAATGTGAAGTATATTAGCCATGAAAAACCTAATTCATAACCCAAATGGCCACTTTGACCATTATCTGGAAAAACATTAGATCTCACAGTTTCAAAATCAATGCTACTTCAGGGCAGATAAAATATATGTTTAATATCTTGCAACTTGGCGGAGATTACAAGGTTGATTGAAATGCCTCAAAAATAGAGATGAGGACCACGCAGCTGAGCAATATAAGGCTCGTCATTTATTTCTTTAATACAGCAGCAGTTTGTCAGGAGTGTCACAGAGATGTGGATTGGGCTTTACTATTGTTTGCACACTGCTCAGTACAAATAAATAATTCAATTCAAGGCAGAGAAAACAGAAGACGTATTAACAGTTATTTAACCTGACCACTTTTATATATCAGGGACCTGCACTGTCATCAGAGTTTCCAAGAAAGTATAGAACAGACAGTGAAATTTAAATTTCAGATAAATAACAAGTGCTTTTTTGATGACCGTATGTCCCAAACATGGCAACCTTCAAGTCAGTGTGTTATTGGCCCCATGCTGGCAGCTATACAAGTTGGGTGAGGTTAGGGTAAGAACGATGTGATGGTGTCGTAAGATCCTGAGTACCTTTTAATACTGTGGTGTCATTTATATGAAAAGTCACTCCCAAGCATTCTACGTGACTATCAGTTTAGAAACCCAGAGACAACTGAGAGAATAAACTGTATGCTGCCCTTAAATCATGCTTTAAATCAATCTTGCTCCCTTTGATTTAAGAGCAGTGTTTCTTTTTAATAGGTAGGGCCACATTTAAGACTGGATTTGTCAAACATTTTCTAGAAAAAAAGGGTGCCTCAAAAGGCATGCTAAGTTAAAGAAAGCCATCATGTGCTACATTTGAAATTTGTTCTAGAAAGAGTTCAAGTGAATGGTGATTTTGGAATACTTTCCACAGCATCAATTAAGGGAGGAGTATTTGGTGTCAAAGCAGCTGGTAAGTTTGGTCCATTCAGTCACTAGTCAGTGAAAGAGTTTATCAACCTAATTATCTGCCAACCTAAGTATTTGACCAAATGACTGATTCATTTTTTCAGAAAAGCTTATCTGTTGAATTTACCAAACCTAATCCTTGATTTACATTCCAAGGCTCAGTGTGGTGTAGCCTAGAACACATTTGCTAAAGACTTTATGTAAAGAAACTAATCATGAGATAATTCCATCTGGAACTCTAGAATGTGTTTATACATGTCAGTTCATATATGTTAGTAGAACTGGCAGAAATTGAAGGTAAACTACGTAACAGTGTGATTAAAAAGACCCAAATGTTTATAGTCTTCCCTGCTTTGCTGTTTTGAAGTTTTACTTTTCATATGACAAATAACTCAAACCTATGATATAATGTCTGCATGGTATTTAATATTGCCATTATCATTATTAAGTAGACTCATTGAATTCTTCCTATGGAAATGTATTTATGCCACTTGAAGCAAAAAAACATTATTTTAAGCCACCAGGTTGAGAGGTTTATTTTTATTAACCAAGGCCTAACCTAACTACTATGACTGGCATACACATATAGTGGCTACAGAGTGTAGAAGAAAATATTTTAAGAGTCCAATTCCTCATGCTGGTCTAATAAGCATTTATAGGCCATCAGTTAATTAAAACTAAAACTAAATAAAAAAATAAAAACCTGAATTATCCACAAGCTTAAAGAGTTTCTATTTTCAGGAAATTATTTCTATCAACTCAGCTGTTATTTAATGTATTGGGTCCTCAATTTCATTGTGAATAATGGTCTGTTTTATTGCTCTGGTTAGGTGGGGGACACCCATATTAGGAATATAGTTCATAAATCTCATCTAGTCTCATTTCTCTAAGATAGAGAACTTGATTCATGCTGCATATATTATGATGTTTTATTATTATTATTATTTTGCTAATTTTTAATTTTTAAGCCCAAGTCCTTGGTGGCTTGTATTATTATACAAAAGAAAAGCTCCCGGCTGGGCGTGGCTCAGCAGTTGAGCATTGACCTAGGATCCAGGCGATCGGGGTTCGATTCCCTGTCAGGGTACATGCCCGGGTTGC